TAAATTTTTTTATATATTTTTTTATCATGAAATTAGGTGTGAAAATATAAAAAAAAGATCATTTTTTTTATTTTATGTATAGTTTGACAAGTAATAGAAAATATATGATATTTTTTAAAATTTTAATTTGAACATATATATCTGATTATATTATTTTTATTATTTAAAATTTATTTCTTCAATTATTTGTTCCTTATTAAAACTCTCATCGAATTAATTTTTAAATTTTATATGATTTTATTTGTTAATAAATTTAATTTTTTTATACATGACTTTTGAAATAAAATTTTAGAACTTGATTGTTTTATTTTTTTTTAAATATATTATTACAATTTATATGATTGATTATTTTTTGATTTTTCAATGAAAATGACGTTGTTGCATGTATAAATTCGATGAGAAAGAGAAAGAGCTATAAGTGTGTTTCGGATATTATAATTATTCTTAAAAAACTAAAAGAACTAGGGTTTTCTCTCGTTCATTTACTCGTAGCGTTTTATTTATTTATTTATTTTTAGTGTTGGCCTTGAGAAGCGGGCTCCAACAGCTGGCTCGACTCATTTTATCGTAGTTTTTTTTTAGGGCTAGCCTCGAGAAGCATTCCCTTTTTTTTTTTTTTTGTAGGGCTGGCCTTGAGAAGCGGGCTCAAGCACGTTTGAACAAGTAGTCTCAACCAAAGTTTGCCTTTTTTTTTCCCTTCTTATAATTTATTTTTTTATTTTTTTTATCATGAAATTAGGTGTGAAAATATAAAAATGATCGTTATTTTTTTTTATGGACATTTTTATGGTAATAGAATATACATAATATTTTTAAAAATTTTAGTTTAAACATATATATCTGATTATATTATTTTTATTGTTTAAAATTTATTTCTTCAATTGTTTATTTCTTATTAAAATTCTCATCGAATTAATATTTAAATTTTATAAAATTTTATTTGTTAATAAATTTGGTTTTTTATATAGGGATTTTGAAATAAAATTTTAGAACTTGATTGTTTTATTTTTTAAAATATATTATTATAATTTATATGATTGATTTTTTTTTTATGATTTTTAAATGAAAATAGCATAATTGCATATATAAATTATGACGATGGAGAGAGGCTAAAAGTATGTTTTAGATAATTTTAACTATTTTTTTAAATAATAATCGGTTAAAAAATTAATTTGACTTAATTTTTTTAAAAAAATTAATATATATACCAACCGAGTGCGATCCTCGCTCTCTTTTTTTCTTCCTATAATTTATTTTATATTTTTAAAAGTCTAGCCACCAATCTAAAGTTTGCTAGTTATTTTAAATCTTGATGTCTTTTAGGATTTGATCACCAAGAGGCAAAAGGAAACCCTTAAAAGAATATACATCTTGTCATAGCATAACTGGATCTCCAAGTAAGTGATGCATAGGTTAAGCGATCATATATAACTGGTCCCTTCATCGGGAAAGAAAACATATATATTATTGATCTTTTTAATGTCTACGAACCAATATTAATTATATCTTTGACGTTGATGTTAACATATATATCCGATTATTTTATTCTTATTGTTTAAATTTTTTTCTTTAATTATTTGTTTCTTATTAAATTTCTCATTAAATTAATTTTTTGATTTAATTTTATTTGTTAATAAATTTGGTTTTTTAATATATGAATTTTGGAATAAAATTTTAGAATGTCAATGTTTTATTTTTTTAAAATATATTATTATAATTTATATAATAAATTATTTTTATATTTTTAAATGAGTTATATATATATGGAGAGAGAGAGAGAGAGAGCTAAAAGTATGTTTTAGATGGTTTGGCTTAATTTTTTTTTACAATAATAATGAGCTCAAAAAATTCATAAGTTTTATTTGCTTTTTCATATATATTTATTCAGAATTTATTAGAACCAATTTTGTTATAGTTTTTATTTTAATCTATTGACTTCAATATATTTCTACAATTTAGGTGGTTTGTTTCTTATTTATTTTATATACTACGAATCGTTATATATATATATATATATACATACATACATGTGTGTGTGCGTGTTTGCGTCATTAGCTTCGTTAAAAGTTAACTATATATAGATTCGATTTATATTAATCACAAAAAATAAAACTTTCTACTTACATTACATTATATGAATTGCTAGCCCTATGTATGTAACGGTTGTCCGTCCACAACTTAGCGCGGGTATCCAATCGGTGAACATTAAAATTAAAAGTTATGACTCATAAATTGATTGGTGTGTTTGTTTTTGTATCCTCGTTAACTTTTTAAGTACAAAAGAATTCATTAAAAGTGTTATAAAAATTTTATTTATCGCCAAATACCTCTAGAAATTAAAAATCTATCTTTCAAACAAAACTTTTGCTTCATAAATCCATAACCTAAGAGAGAAAACCATCAACAAAAAAAAAAAAAATCCCTACCTCAAAATTTTTAGAAAAAAAAAATGACCATGACTTTGTCTTTTAAAAATTGCGGGGAAATAAAAGGTAAATTCTATATATTGTTTTTTTGTCTCGTTTTTTTTAAACTCGTCAAAAGTGTTAGAGATCTTAGAAATGTTAGATAATAAGTTAAGCATACTATGAAGGAAATTTGAAAGTGTTTTCAAGTGGGATTTTATCCCACATTGGAAATGAATGAAAATAAGAGGCAACTTATAAAGTGGGCCTCTAGCGAAACTTTCAATTATTTGATTGAAGGAATTAGAGGGAAAACTAGGATAATTGGTTGGAATTATATATATTTAAATAATCAAAGACTAGCACTTAGCACTTTGCACGTGCACGTGTGTGATTAAGAAATTTATTTTTATTTCTTAATGTAATTAAATTCGTAATTATTTAATTAATTACGTTTTTTAATTTTTTGTCATGACTAGTTAGTTATTAACGACTTTCAAATCTTATGATCTGTTAGAATCTAACGGTTATGTATGTTAGAGTCTAACAATTATGTCCGTTAGGATCTAACGAGTTATGACTATTGGATTATGACTGTTAGAATTAATAGTCATGTTTGTTATGAAAGGGTATCGGTGGTCTATAAATATGGGACTACCGCACGGGACGAAATTAATTTACATTCTCTACAATCCTCCTCTCCTCTAAAAAAAAAAAAATTCTTTTCCTTCTAAGACTCTACAACTTTAAGAGATATTCTCTTGAAGGAATTTCGAGAGTGTTGCTGCAGTTCCTTGTGTGCGAAAATTGTATCCTAGAGGTGAATTGCTAAAATCCCTGCGACATTATAGTGGGGGCAATAATCACCTTAAGGACGATGTAGAGTATTTTACGCACGCAATTAAGCACTACATATTTCGAGTTCCTTTTCAAGTTCATTTCGACTTTTTCAAACAAAAAGTCATTTTTTTATGTAGAAGGAAGGGATTTGTTACGACAAGCTAGCAATTGTCTTGGTTATGCAAACTAGCAACTAATCCCGGCTTCCAAAGACCTATAATAGCCCCCAAATCGGTGTTTTTTTTTTTTTTTTACTTACTTTTCCAACTATACCAATTCGGCCTTTCGCAATCATTTGCTAGTTCTTGCCAAAATTTTAGCTAAATATATTGACTTCCTTCGGTTTTTTAGATTTACTAAGATTTAGCCGGAAGACGACTATCAAGTAGGGATGCACATCGAGTATAAAATGCATGTTTGGCAACAATAATCATCGTATCATATAAGATTATTAAGAACGTTGTATATGTGTATTAATCATAAAATTACTAGGGTTTTGGACAAAACAATATAGACAAACAATAGTTTTTCAACACACCTAGACTCCTCTCCAAATTTTCGATAAACTTTTCTTGAGCCTTTAGTCGACCATGATAAGATTGATTTTTTTTTAAAAAAATAAAATAATTTTTCATATGCATAATCTAGCATGTAGTTTGGTTATACAAAGCATGGCATTGTCATTAAAAAGTAGAACTAAACATGGAAAGCTCAAAGTCTAGCCAATGCATAACTTGATCAAATAGACATGAAGAAACCATTATAAAAAAATAATTGAACATGAAAAAGCTAACAACTTGGTTAGATAAAGATGGTGTTATCGTTAAAAAGAACAACCGAGCATGAGAAGCTCTAAGCCTAGCCAACTTATTCTTTGGGTAGATGGATATGACCTTGTCATAAAAAAGAAAAAAAAATTAAGAATAAAAAGCTCGGCGTATGGTGTTTTTATCAAAAAAGAAACTAAGCATGAAAAACTCATATTATAATTAGTGTACATCTAGACCAAATGAATATAACGTTATTATTAAAAAAAAAAACGAACATGAAAAGCTCGAGTTGATCAATATATAGCTTTGCTAGATAAAGATGGAGTTATCATAAAAAAAAAAATAAAATAAATAAACATAAAAATCTCATAGCCTGACTAGTAAGTAGTTTGATGAGATGAACATAATGTTTTTTTTTTTTTTTTTTTTTTTTTTTAAGCTTTAAAAAGTAAGGGATAGTTATCACCAAAAAAAAAAAAATTGTCTATTTCAAAAGCAATTAATTTATTTTTAATTTTTTTAAATTTAAAATATTATTTTTTCTTCGTAAACACTTAATAGTTAACTAATATTAAATTAAAGGTTAATTACTAAATGTTTTGAGATATATATATATATATCTCAAAACATATATTGAGTTTAAGAGATTTAAAAATAAATCATTAAGTTTTTTTACAGAGAAGATTTATTTTAGAGAACTTTTCTGGCAATTATCTAAAAAATTAATACTTTGGGAGCTTCTTATAATTTTAGGTATATTTTATAAAAGTATTTTGGATCATACATTTAATCAAACACTTTTATATATTTTTCACTACTCCAAAAAAATCCAACGCTCAAAAAGGTTACGTTCAACTCCAAACACACATTTACGCAAATCCAAACAAAGAGGGACTCTTCTCTCTCTCCTTTGCTTCCATTCTATGTAACCTTTTGAAGCTCCCTTCTTTTTCAAAAATCCACTTCTCGCATCAGATTTTCCGCCATGGAAGCTCCAGTAAGGATCTTCAATCGCAGTCTCTTCACTAAATCAACATCAACAACAACAAATTTTCTAAAACCCATTTCAATAATCCATCGATCCATAAGCCCACAACGACAAAAACTCCTAACCCACATCATTTCAACACCAAAGTTGTCTCATTCTCGCATTCGCTCTTCTTTTTCGCCTTTCTGTCACTCACCCATTACTCCTAATCCAAACCCCAATAATTTCCTCTTCTCGCTTTCCTCTTCTCATTTCTCAAACCCTATCACGAATTCTGATTTTATCTTCGAATTGCATCAGAACGAGGGGCCTTTTACTTGGAACAAGGCACCAGAGAGTGCTGTTAATGGTAAACTTAGCGTCTTTAGTGATAAAAAACCAGTTGTGACTGTAGTTTTGCTTGGTTGGCTTGGAGCTAAAGAAAAACATCTAAAAAAGTATGTGGAATGGTATAATTCAAGAGGGATTCATGCTGTTACGTTTGTTGTTGATATGAGAGAGTTGCGTTGTTTTGATTTTGGGAAGAGAGTGGAGAAGAGGGTCACTACTTTGGCTAATGAGCTTGTTTCTTGGGTTTCTGAGAAAGAGGATGATGGTAGAGAGAGGAGTTTGGTTTTTCATACCTTTAGTAACACTGGTTGGCTTGTGTAGGTTGATTTATTGCACTTGTTTTTGTGTAATTTTTTGTGTTTCTTTGCGTTTGTACTGGAGTGGTAATTGTTGTGGTGGTGGTGTTTCTTGCAGGTATGGTTATATTCTTGGTTTCATGCAAGAGAGGGAGGGATTAATGGAGAAGATTATAGGGTGTGTTTCTGATTCTGGAGGTGGCGATCAGTTCAATCCGAAGGTTTGTTGAGTTATGGTCTTGTTGAAGTCAATGATTTGTGTGATAAATTTGTGTACGCGTTTTTTTGTTTGTTGTAAAAGTGTCTGAATTTTGTTGAATTAATTAGTGAATGTGTGATTTTGCAAATTCTTGTTTTTCCTTTATCAGTTTCTTAGTTGATGATAAATTGTTGTTATTAGCTTTGGTCGTTCATACAAAGTAAACTTTAGCTTTTGACGTTTATGGATCAGTATTGGCTATGCCACGAATGCTCCCAATTTTATGCTTTAGTTCAGTTGCAGTCTTCCTAGTTGTTCTACTCTGCCAGCCTTCCCTATCTTATTATTTCATGGTCCTGGTGTGTAATGCTTTTCAATTTGGTTAGTGTCTTGTTGATTTAAGTAGGATCCAATGATTTGAAATAAATTTGAATGGCTTCCAAATCCTTTCTCATTAAAGCTGATTCAACTGGCTCAGATATTCCCAGGTTGATAACATGGATCATGAATGAGCTAGTTGTGTTGTGAAGAGCTCAGTATGAGCCAAGGCTTTTCATAAGAGTACAGAATTTGAATTAACATGATGGCCTTATTACGTGGCTGCATTAAGCTCCACTCTGTGTTACGTTTTGTTTAATTGATTCTGGCCCCATTGTTTCTCAGACATCCATTAGAGTTACTCGATGCAATGAAAACAAAATTAAATTCTGGTAGGATGCTTAACTTTGTGAACAAACCAAGAATGTACTTGAACTGGTTGTGGAGCAAGTTTTTCAGTTTCAAAAGAGTAATAAGGAAGTGCTTATCTGTGGCACGGTATGAACAGGGCGACTGGTGGAAATTCTTGAGTATGTTGCTATTAAATTGTCTTAATTATTAGCTCATTTATGGTGGAATTTGGCTGTCATATAGAACAGTTATTCTTGTAAGAGAAATTTTATAATATACAAGGAGTAACTAGTGGCAGGTACAGTAGTTACTCCTTAGGGTCACTTTAAGGAGAGAGATAGACACACAAAAAGAGAGAGTGAAAAACAGGAGAGAGAAAATAAAAAAATTTGAGGAGATGTGGAAATCTTCTTATCACTTTTGATGGGTATGGATGTAATTTTTTTTTTTTTATGTGTTTATCTCTCTCCTCAAATTGGACTCAAGGAGTAACTACTGTACATGCCACTAGTTACTCCTTGTGTATTATAAAATTTTCCATTCTTGTAAGGTTTCAAATAGGCATATATAATCATGGTTTGAAGTGCTAATGTCATCTTGAATTGAAGCATATGCTAATAGGCATCTGGCTGTCAGTAATGTCCACTGTCAATTATATATATATATGATTCTGAAGGGATGCGAATGGCTGATTTCCTTCCATCATGGCAGGTCTGGGCTAGTGGTTTCTCTGCTGCCTTGCTGAAGAAACGCAGCTCTGCTGTGCCAATCGTTGAGACCAAAGAAATGAATGGATTAGAAAATCAAGCCATTGGATCAAAAATCCAAGAAAAGGAACCTGCAACGATCGAATCCATGGTGCTATCAGTATTTGAAATGCTATTCTCTGTAGTTCTGAAGTTGCCAGAAGTGGAAAAGTAAGTGCTCTGTCTATGTCTTGATCCTTTGAATATTATATTACTCGTCGGTGGGAACTAATTTTCTTTTCTAAATAATGGTCAGCATATGTATTAGCTGTAAAAAATTTACGAATGACAGTGCTCATTTCTTGCTAATTATTGCAGGAAATTAATGAAGATTGTGTCTACACTCTCAGAAAAGCAGCCTTCCTGTCCCCATCTTTTCCTATATAGCACAGCGGATAAACTTGTTCCGTATCAATTAATAGAGTTGGAGGTGGAGGATCAGAAGAGAATGGGGAGAAAGGTATTATCCTACAATTTTGAGTCATCCCCCCATGTAGACCACTTCAGAACTTTCCCAGATATGTATTCATCACTGCTTCATAATTTTTTGAAGGAGTGTTTTCTCGTAGCTAAGCAGATTTGAATTCTGAAAACGCATGTTATTTCCATCAAACAATCATATTAGTTCCTTAACCACCATTGATGTTATTGTATTGGAAGCTTATTGATGAATAAAAATTACAAGGGTGCGAACTTCAATTTTGTGTTTTTTATTAAAGGTTCAAAATTTCAGCTTTTTTTTTTTTTTTTTTAATGATGCATGGTTTGCATTAGCATGGAGTGGTTTTGACAGGAAGGCAGGATTTTGCTTGTGATGGAATCCTTTGAAGTTGGTTCATGTCGCTATTTATCGTACCAAAGTTATAAAGCCTTCTTGCACTTGGCTTTATAGGAAATGGTTAGTTGCAGAGGGTTGGGATATGAGAGTGACATGGGTTTGTCAGTGTAGCAAAAGAACAGAAATGAGAGTGACATCTTACTGGCCAGGATCCAGATTAGGAAAATCGGTCAGTTGCTGGCTCCAGAGACTTTAGGAATTTTGAATATAGAAGAAGACTACTCGACCTCAAATGTGTGGCAGTTCTAGTGGTCAGGAATTCTCTCCTTTGGATTTGTGGGTTCTCGTAGGAATTTAATATCCTATAAAATGTTGACATATCGTTATTAATTTCTACCGCAGCTATTAACAAAAAATATTAAAATGAAATGATTGATTATTATTTACTGCATTATTTAAAATACTGATCATTTAGACTCTTTTGTACTATTTACTTAAATTTATTGTATTATTTTTTCATTATATAATAGTATTTTTGTAATTTTTAAATATATTTATTACGAAAGTTTTGATAACATTATATTTTAGTCTCTTTTTTGTAAATATTGTTTTTTTAGTCAGAATATATATATTTTTTAATTTTAGTTTTTTTTTTGTGTTATTTTGATCAATTTGATCATTTCTTTTTTTCCTTTAATTTTTTAGTTAAAAATTTTATGGCTAAAAAATGTTTTAAAAAAACAATTTACAAAATAAATTTTTAGTTAAAAATTTATTGGTTTTGACATTTTTATATTATTATAAATTTTTTAGTTTGCGGATATAAATAAATAAATAATGTTTTTTAATAAAAAAATTATGAAAAATATAAAGAATAATCAAGTAAATACAAAAATTTGATTAAAAAACTATAAAATTGAATGAATTTTTATTCTGTTTTGATTTAATATATTTTGATATATGCACAATATAATACAGAACATCAAACTAAAATAATTTTATATATTTTGTTTGATCCGTAATATAATATGGATAAAAAATTTAGTATTAAAAAAAAAAAAGAAGCTATCGAGGGTTAAAGAATTGTTTAATTTGGTGAAATTAAAAAAAAAAAAAAGAAGTATTTAGATGATATTCGAATGGTGCTCAAACTCAAAGGATGAATTATGAATATTTATAATTCTTATTCATCTGGATGTTACAAAACCTGATTTATGGGCACCAATCACCATCTCTAACATAAATGTCTTGTTCTTTGGGACCCGAGCCGGTTGAGCTTTTAAAATGAGTAAACCGGAAGTAAACCAAACCAAACTCTAATAAATACCCCTAAGCAGCAAGCAACTAAACGGTACCGTCCAGGTTCGTTGTACCTACCCAGTCTTCTCCGCCCCAAAAAAGAAAAAATAAAAAAATAAATAATAATAATAAAATTATGGTTTCTTCTTCCTTCCTATTTAATTTCACAGAATATTTCCATTTTCACTCTCGAAATCCAAAGCCCTCTCAAATTTCGTTTTCTTAGTTTCTATTCCTTACCTTCACTTGTTTGTTTGCCTCTCTAGTACCAAAATGGGGATAGTAGAAGAATCGCTGGTTAACGCGAAACTTTCGCCGCCAAATTCGTATTCTGCAGTGGTTCTTGGTGGCACCTTTGACCGTTTACACGACGGCCACCGCCTCTTCCTCAAAGTGATAATCTTTTTTCGTTCTGAATCCTTAATTTTGTTGGGTTTTGTTTGATTTTTTTTTTTGGAACGAAATGGTTTTTTCAGGCAGCCGCAGAACTGGCGAAGGATCGTATTGTGATTGGAGTCTGTGACGGTCCTATGCTAAAGAACAAGCAGGTTATTTTTATTTTTATGGATATTTTTGTTCTATATTTTTTTAAGTGAGTAATGCTATACATTTTGTTTGGAATAATAATGTAGGACCAACCAATCAGGGTCATCCCGAACGTGGTTGATACTATTACGAAAACTCATCTGGGATCAATAGCATTGCTGCTGTTAGCTTTTCTTGATCAATTATTTGATAAATAGGCGTGAAAATAGTATCTTTACCTCATTCGCATTTGTGTGGGGTCTAAGATGGTTAGGTACCGATGAAATGCTGCAATTAGTTTTTGTAAGTAATGATTTTTCTTGAAATGTTAAAAGGTGATGTATCATTAAGATTTTGTTTTATCGAAAGAGTGATGCTGATTATCTTGCCTTTTGGGTTCTTAGAACATGGAGTATTGATTTTTGTTTTTTAATTTTTTTTTCTTTTTTGGTTTCTACAATGATTAGATATTTGGTTCGGCTTTTGCAGTTTGTGGAATTAATACAGCCCATCAATGAAAGGATGCATAATGTTGAAAGTTATATCAAGGTATTGGATTTGATATTTGAAAAGAATGTTTGTGTTCTTTTTGTTCTTTTCAGTATCTGGAATTGTGGGTTGAGAGTTTTAGATCAGGCAGGTTTATTGGGTTGGTACAGCAGCAATACAACAATGGCTACATAGACAGGTTGAACTAATGTGGCTGGGATAGTGGACTTGACGCAATTCTTTCATCTCTTATAGTCTGATGATGCCTTTGTTCACAATGAAAGATGTGTAGGATTTAACCTAGGAAGTGGAAAATAGTGTGCCAATGCTTCCACTGGTTGAAGCTTTTTGAAGTGAAACTGGAATTGTCATCGTCAGTCTAGATGGTAAAGTAGTAATGCTATGGACTACTAGCACTGCATCAAAATCCAGCATATTGTCACATGGTGTACATGGTTTCTTTGGCATGATTTCTCCTTTTATGCTTAGAAATGGTTGCTCATTTTGTTTCGTGTGTTTGTGCAGTCTATTAAGCCAGAACTTGTTGTGCAAGCTGAACCCATCACAGATCCTTATGGGCCTTCAATTGTTGATGAAAATTTGGAGGCTATAGTTGTTAGGTAAGTTATTTTTCATATTGTCTTGGTTTTTTTTTTTTTTTTTTTTTGGTTTTCTGTTGAGGAACTTATTTTACGATTTCTTAGTGGAATTTTACGTTTTTATGTAAAACCATTATGTTATTTTAAATTTATATATACAGCTTGAGGTGTCTGTATTCTTTTGGGATTTATATGTGTAAATTTTTTTTGCTTTGGAGTTAATCTATGTCATTTCCTGCTCCATTGTTTTAGAAATTACTGCAGATCTTATCTCTACTGCTTGAATTTGTTGCGGTTATCCTCATTTTCTTTGTATTAGTCATTAAACTTGGTTATAGTAAAGAAAAGGCACAAAAAGAAAAAAAAATGCCAACGTATCTTTTAGGATTGTAATGTTCTTTCTACTTCCCTAAAAGTTGTGATAAAATTATTCTTGACCAACTGTTGGTTTTGTGGCAGCAAGGAGACAGTGGCTGGTGGGTTGTCAGTTAATAAGAAGAGAGCTGACAGAGGCCTTTCACAGCTTAAGGTTTGTGTTTCCAGTTTTTCCATTTGTGATGATACGGTTTTGCGTGTGTAAGGTAGGCTCTTATAATCGCTTAAAATGTCTGATGGCCAGACCCTTGTATTATGGATCTTGTGCAGATTGAAGTTGTAGACCTAGTTCCTGAAGGATCTAGTGGAGATAAGCTTAGCTCTACGACATTAAGGAGGCTTGAGGACGAGAAGGCCAAAATACAACTAACAGCAACAGAGTCATAGTTCCTGATCATGTCTGATGTCCTGAAATTAATGGCTTCGAGCAAATACCCGACTCTGCAAGGCACAGTAAACAACAAATTTAACCGGAGACTTTTTGGAAGATACAGGATACAAGATAAAGAGAATGTATCTGTAAAAATGATGTGATTTTGATCCATACAGTTTGTGTCAAGATAAAGAGAATTTATTTGTCAGAATGATGTGATTTGATCTATACAGTTTTGTGTCTCCAAAATTTTAATAAATTGATGTTTTATACGAATTGATACTCATACATGTTACAATGAGTATGGCAATCCAAAAGAACCCTAAAACTTGACATTATTAAGCAAGTTCATTAAATAAAGCAGAATCAAATAGGTAAAGGAAAGACACTCATGGCCGACAAAATGATTGAGTTTTTTCGATCTGGGTTGCCTTAAGAGAATTTTGGTTTACACTCACCATAACCAAATAACCAAAATGAGTAAAGTTAGACGAAATTTAAGATGATTTTTCATAATAATAAAATTGGAAAATTGTTAGGAAACTTTAATTGAAACTTTGTAAACTTTAAGGTCCATGCTGAAACTTTAATTGAAAGTCGAAGGAAAAACAAGGACATTTCGCGACCATAACATAGAGTCGTTTTGATTATTTAACCGCCGTTTCAAGACGTTTGGAAGAAATTGCACCGCCTAAGCAATATTAACGGCTACTATTTCCCTACAACTAAATTTTGAAACTTTTCAAACTGTATAAAGAGAGGTTAGCATATAACTGAAAGATCGCAATCCCTCTCTTCCCCATCTCTCTCATTATCTCTTAAAAAAAAAAAAAAAAAACATTTCAAGTGTTACTTGAATCTTGATCTTCTCTTTACAACTCCAAAAAACACATATATTTCTCTTTTGCTTTGAATTCCTAAACCTCCACATATTAGAAGTGAGAAAGCGAGAGAAGGAGAAAGAGAGACAGATTGAGAAAGGATTCATTGGTCTCTTTTGTAGAAAGTAGAGAGAGGCTTTGGTTTCTTCAAGGTTTTAACCAAACCCCACCTTTCGTTTTCTTTCTATTCTTCTTGTTTTTCATGGTTTCCTTTTGTTTTAGTAGAACTTTTGAGGATTTCTTTAATTGCCTTGACTTCTGCAAACCGTTTGTTTATGTTGGTTTTCTGTGTTCTTTTCCAGAACTCTTTTTGTTAAAATCATTGAATTTCATGGTTTTGTAGAATTTGATAACCATTGTTTAACTTTTATGTACTGTTCTTGATGGGTTGTGTTGAGGGTTTCTTTGGAATGATTTCTCAAAATCTTTTCTTTGATGGTTTCCTTAAGATTTTTCCTTATCTCCTTTCCAGAAAACCCTTCTTTGAAAACAGTGAATTTTTATAGTTCTGTAGAATTTCATACCCATAATATACTTTGATGTACTGTTCTTGATGGGTTTGCTTTTCTTTATTAAGCACTCGTTTTGCTGTGTATCTAACTGTTATCATGGTTAATTATCGGTTTCATTTAGATTTCTTGGAGAACAAATCCTTAACTTTCTCAAGAATCTTGAGTGGTTGATTCTGATATTGAAGCCCTATTGAGGTATACTTTGATTTTTTTTCTTAATTCTTCATTATTCGGGCTCTATCTATATATTTTTTTTCTAAAAACGTTTCTTGTTCTATTTTTGAGTGATACTGGATTCTGTTTTGATATATTTAGATCTCTTGGAGGAAGAATTCTTCACAATCTGTAGATTTTTAAGTGCTTAATCTACATTTAGGAGGCATACAGCGTCTTCTTTTGCAATTCTTGATCAGTAGATGTTCAGATTCCTGCATTACTTATATATATGTGGGTTCTGTTTTTTATTTTCACTTAATGTTTCTGCAGGTGGTTTTTGCAAAATTCTTGCAAAGATGAATGATCTAATGACAAGATCGTTCTTAAGTTATGTGGAACTGAAGAAACAAGCCCAGAAGGACCTTAAAGCCGAACTTGACATTGAATCAGGCCAAGCAAACCCCGCAGATGAACCAAACCTCTCTCAGTTCTTCCAAGAAGTCAATGGAATTAAGACCGAAATGGAAGAGATTACCAATCTCTTGTTTGATCTTCAAACCCTTAATGAAGAGTCAAAATCCACTCACAGTGCCAAAGTTCTTCGTGGCATAAGAGACCGAATGGAATCAGACATGGTTGCAGTTCTTAGAAAGGCCAAGGCTGTGAAGTCAAGACTAGAATCACTTGACAGATCCAATATATCGAATCGCAAAGTATCAGAATTGTACAAAGAAGGGAGTCCCGTTGATAGGACAAGGATATCAGTCGCCAATGGCTTGAGAGTTAGACTTAGGGAGATCATGAATGAATTTCAGATCCTGAGAGAGAAGATTTTATCAGATTACAAAGATGATCTGAAAAGAAGATACTACACTGCGACCGGAGAGGAACCAAGTGAAGAAGTGATCGAAAAGATGATTTCAGGAGGTTGGGGAGTTCAGATATTTGAAGGGAAAGGAGTGGTGGACTTGAAGAGTAAAGAGAGGCAGGAGGCTGTGATGGACCTACAGAGAAGCATGAAAAGGCTGCATCAGGTGTTTCTTGACATGGCTGTTCTTATTGAAACACAGGGAGAGAAGATGAATGATATTGAAGAGAATTTGGCCAAAGCAGGTGGTTTTGTAAGTGGTGGAACTAACAGTCTTTACTATGCCAATCAGATGAAGAAGAAGAGGAAGACATGGTGTTTATGGGTTTTCGCTGTGATGGTGATCATAATTTTGGTTTGCATTATATCAACATGGGCTTCTTGAGAGACAGCAGAGGAGGAGGGAACTATTTGAGGACTGTCAAGTGGCAGTTGTTTTTGTTTCTAGTTGCTTGCCTGTAAATTTATGTCTACTAGAGTTTTTAATAGTTCAGAAGGGATCTCTTCTCTTACTAGCTCACAACTTTAAATGGCTTTTTGGGTAGTTTGAATCTGGTTGTCAGTTTTGCTAGATAGATTTTGAGGTTCTGTTAATTTGTCACCAATTTTTCATTCAGCAGAAATTTGGAGAAACATTTTATGAATGACTTGTGTCTACTTCTTTCTATGGGTTGTTCTTCCCTTGACTGTTGATCTTAGGCATTTCTGTATCAAATTCCTCATCCTAGTCTACCGTAAAGTGCTTTGAACAATGAGCAATGGATTCTGAACTTATTAGCCAATGCAACTGTTGACAGCGAAATCTCCATCTGCAAATTATGCTTTGTTCTATTTCGAAATAGAACAACTAGAAACAAAAATTCCTGAAGGTTTGGCAAAACTGGTATCCTTCAGAAATGCAGGTATTATTCTACAAAAACTGAACAAAATGCAGGTATCCTTCAGAGAATGCTAAGATGCTGCTTAGCTGTCCAGGACTGCTGAGGCTCTAGCTGGACATTTCCAAGCTACAGTTAACATGCAAAAAACATAATCCCCTTGTTAGAAAATTTACAACACCACACAAATATTCATCAGGAAAGGCAACTAGAAGTTGTTTGATATATCGCATTGCTAGATAGAGGAATTTAGAATGCAGTTAATAATTGCTGCCCAGAAAATGTAAATCAGAAAGATAAAACCCAACTTCCATGATGCTTGGCAATTATTTATCAAGAAGGTAATATCTAAATACCTTTGCATTTTCAACGCAAACAAAATCTTTGTAGCGTGCTTCCATCTGAAGATGCGGGTTCCATAAAACAGCATCCGACCAACTGCAATGGGCAAAGTGATAGCAAAGTAAAATATATGAATACACAAATAAAAGGAGGGAAATAGGAGATAGCAAAGCAAGAAAATGAAATGAGGTTCTCGTACTTTGTATTCTTGACAGTTATTACATCGCCCAAACCATTATCTAGGTGCAACTCACTTGGAGCATCAAGATAAATGCAGTCTACAAATCCAGGGAAAGTCACCACATCCCTGCATTATTTACAGGACAGTTAGAAAGTGCAGAAATATCTCTTTGTAAGAGGATCTTTGAGTTTCAAACTTATCGTTATGGTTCTTGATATGGCTTCACAAACCATTACAGAGTTATTTATATTTTCTACTCTCCAATATATTGAACAGATCACAGACGAGGAACCACTCACATATATTCCCTATATAACATTTCCCCTACACCCCCCAAAATAGGGGACATGATGACAGCAGTATCAAATTTCCATACGTTATATTCAAAGAGAGAAACTAAAATCAATTTGATATAGGTTTTCTGTATGAATGGCGTGTATAAAATGTTACTGACCTTTCCTCCTTACCCTCCAATGGATTGGTAGGATCTGGATCTTTATTTAGGGTTTTGCAACCTTTCAAACCTTTCACTGATGCTCCTGTTACAGATGCCTGTGTGAATCATCTTATCATTTACAATAACGTTCTGTACAGTTCACCAGGCCAATAGAATTTGCATAATTTTTTATTTGTAACTATCTTTCTGTCATTGAAAAACCATTAATCTCCTTTCTACAACACACAAAACTAACAATACTTAATGATAAAATGCCTGCCCCCTCCCTCCAAATCCCAGGAGTTCTCCAAATCATTTCCATGCATTAGTAACTCCTCATGGAACACAGTTCCGAGTCCCACATTTACATTATGAGCAATGGAATTTACTAATTCGATCAGACCAGCAGAATAGAAGTCTGCTAAGCATGGAGATAATGGCACTTACGCGGAAGTATGTGTGCAGAGCAGTAGTAAATGAAAATGGCTTGTTGTCTGTATTTGTGATCTTCAATTCTGTGGAAATGCTCTTTGCATCTAGCATGACCTAAAAGCAATTAAATGAAAAGTAGATTTTAGTTTGCAAATACATCAAACATATATGATTCTACATGATGCTGTCTAAAAGCTTATTAAAATAGCTGGATAACACCAAATGCCTGCTACCACTGCTATATACTTGAATATACTTGTTATATTTGAGGTATATGTATCAGGATCAATTTATATATTTGCTGTAGCCAAGCTGATTAATGTTTCTCCAAAGGGAAATAATTGACTACCTTGTATAGAGCTTGAAAACCAAAGTCCCACATGGAACGACTATAAGGACCATCCTTAAGCAAAAGGGTTACCACAGGATTGCCGTCCGCATTGTCAGAATCAATAACTGACCAATCCAAATTCCTTGCAAATCCATGCTATTAAGTACAGACAACACATTCTCAAAGTTCAACAAAACAGTAAAAGAAAAAGAAAAAAAACATAAAGTTAGAAGCATGAATTTCGGAGAACAATAGGGCATCATACCTGCTGAATAGCACCGGGGCCAAACTGTGGGAAACAATGTGGAAGACCTCCACTGACCCAACAGCAAACTAACAGTCAATACATATAGAATATGAAGCCAACTGGGTCCTTTAAATGCTTAAAAAGAATACAGAATTATCAACTTAAAAATACCTGATTGGTTTTTTCTTGTTAAAAACAGCATCTGGCCTCACAAAAAGGAGGTCTTTTCCACTGGGAACTTTCCAAGATGTAATGCAACCTCCAAATAGATATATCTCTGCCTCACTTCAATAACCCAATAGAAAAAAAATCACAAACTTTATAATACAAATTCATTATATGTATTGAGAATGATAAATCAGGACACACACTTACCTACCATGAGGAGAAGTGAGGACAACCTTAGGCAAGTTACCTTCACCTTCCGCGACTTTCACTCCTATGGTTGTGCTGGTTTCTTTATTTACACTTGCAAATGCCCTGCCAGAGCATCTGTGACTGTGTCACATAAATTTCAACCAAAAAAGAACTAGCTTATCAAATTTAAGAAAGGACCCATTAAAATTTGAGTCACAAATCAAACAAACAAAAGCAAGATCAACAAAATTCAAATAAAGACAAAGTGGATGAGTAATTTTGCAAGAAATGAGATTTTGTGGGAAGAGAAAAGAATAGAGAGAGAGAGAGAGATTACTCACCGGTCGACTCGGCGTATGTTAAGGTTAGGAAGAGAAAATGACATAGAGACCATCGCCATTGTTGTTTCTTAGTCAGTTAAAGCTGTGAGTGCCAATCTTAAACTGAGGGACAAAGGCGAAAAAGAATGAACGGTGATTGTCTCTTCAACTGTCGAATGTGTTACGTATAGTTCAGCATGAGTCATTTGATCGTTTATGTCGTTACTATCTCATGTCTGCTTTTCTACATTCGGATATTCCTTACCAGTTTTCCTTTCTTGGGCTTCCTTACACAATCAAATCTGAAACCCCAATACTGTGATGTGACCGGCCCAATGAAGATTATAAATAAAAGCCTTTTTGCAATTTCAAAGATTTTTAAATCCATGGTAGTATTTTTTTATATATATAATTTTTACTAAGTATCTTCGTCCTACATCGGATATAAAACTAATTATATTCAAAATAAAAAAAATAAAATTTATTTTTTTAATAAATGCGATTCCAGGATTTAAACTTTGTATATTGATAAAAAATTCATCTAAAAACCAATTTATTTATTTCTAGATTAATATCCTATTGGTAAATGGTATTTTCTTACTGAGAAAGGTTTCTTAATTCTTATTAAATTATAAATTAGTCTTTTTTAAGAAAAAGGAAAAAAATTGTCTCTTTTTTTTTTTCAAAAATTAATAATTTAATATATCGTAATGAGCTAATTAAACTAAAAAAACAAAAGAGAAAAAAAGAAAAGCACAAATGTTTTGTTCAACTTTGAAGTGAAAGAACATTACATAGAGCATATACGTATAACATTTAGCTACTAAAAAGATGAGACATGACATGAGAGAGTACAAGATTTATAAGAATTTAAAAGAATATATTGGAATTTCCCAGTTATCATACATTTGCAGAGTTTATTACAATTACCTTTTTGTGTCTCAAATGAAATCTTACATTTCTTACTCAAACTTTGTCCTAACGAAACCTCCTACAGCTTTTGCAGGAAGCATCATCAGGGGATTTACATCTTCAATTGGCTTGTCAGATTTTACAGTAGCTTCAAAATATCTAGCAAGGAGGAAGATCCTTAGGAGGAGGCAGAATAGATTGATCAGGTCCAGGTCCATCTTCTACCACAAATGCTGTTTTCAACCCCCAACCAGTATGCAGCTCCAAGTGACAATGCATAAACCAAACACCTATACACAATCAAACATTAAAATCATCATCAGTTAACACTAAAATATTCTATGTAATTCTACTTTATGCAATTTGCTTCAGATATTAGATCATACCTGGATTATCAGCTCGAAACCGAATAGCGGTCCAGCCCCCAGTAGGGACACCAACTGTATTTCTCTCCATGGGATCAACCAGATTATATTTAGCTGGATCTTTAGCAGGATCAAAGTTTCCAATTCCGGTGCCAACAACAAAGAAGTTATAGCCATGAAGATGGAATGGATGTGACTCAACTGTTAGCAAGTTGGTGTCCTGAAGAACAAGTTCAACAGTAGAATTAAAAGCAATCTTGCTAAGCCTTGGACTTGTCCCATGGACTGTTCCAAGACTTGCTGTAAGTGGTGCACCAGTGTAGTTGAAAGGGGTGGGAGGCTTGTCGGGAAAATTGGTCTTGAATACTCCACTAATGTTGAAGTAATGAGCTTGGAGAAGTCCAATTTGAGGCATGACGAAAGAGATATTGTTCAAAGAAGCTAGGAGTCGCGTTCCATTTACGCAAGTGGGGCATGGATCTTTTCCTAAACCAACTGTGAAAAATAGATTTCGATCAACTTTAAGGGGTACATTTGCAGGGAACTGTGGAGTGTTCAAGCTTCTAATCTTTCGGTTGTAGGCTAACGCGAATTCTGAATCATTCGGTGCAGGCAATTGAGGGAAGGTTGGGAGGACCGTGTTCGGGATGCCTTTATATTGCAGGATAGCTGTGGCTGTTTTATTGTCTACAGGGATTGGAACATCCATGAAAGCCCTAGTAGCCATGAAATATCTGCCCGGAACTTGGTTGGCTTGGACCAGAACATTTGTGGTCTGGCCAGGTGCGATTAGTATAGTTTGAGTGGTGAATGGCTTCGTATAAACTGCATCAACCTCCACTACTGTCATGCTGTGACCAGCTATTCCAAAGAAGAGCTCATCGTTGAGAGCAGCATTGATGATTCTCAGGAGGTATGTCTTCCCAGATTCAACCTCCATTGCAAAAGTATCTAAAACAAGCATCAAATGAAACGAATGTCTTCCAATTAGAACTTTATGAATAGCAGCCAACTTTGGCTTTAAGCATTCTCTAGCGTTACTGTTATATATTATACTATGGCTTTAAGCATTCTCTAGCCAATTTTACTTACGTTTCTCAGAACATGGAAAGAGAGGCCCTGGCTTCCCGTTAATTGTGTGCGCATCTGACATATTTGGTGGCAAACCCATTTTAGTCCCTTGCTTTTCAACCTCTTCCACATCGGTGTTCCACCATTCCCCTACAGCACACACCAGCAAAAAATATTAACTTGTAATCATAGTTTTAAATACCAACCGTTACGTTATATAACGACCATTATGTAATGGTTTCAGAACATTCTGTTATCATTAGTTTAATATTAAAGTAAGTAGTGATTCGCGATAGCAACCGTAATTGTCTTTCCAACCATTCGCGATTTAAAACTGTGCTTGTAATTAACGATGCAACTATACATTAGAGGAAACATAAAGAAAAGAACTTTGATAGGAAATCTGCACATAGAATCCTACCTAAAAGAACAGGGACTTCCATATTTGGCTGTGGGAAAGGATATGGAGTTCCTTGTTTAGGCATGACGAAAATTGCACCATAAACTGTAGCCCTTAACCAAAGAATATGTGCATGCCACCATAAGGTTCCCCTTTGTCCTGTTACATTGAACTTATAAGTGTAGCTCTTTCCAGTTTGGATCGGACATTGTGTTATATAAGCTGGTCCATCTGCCCATCCATTGCGGTATTGCTTCAGTCCATGCCTACGATGCCAACCAAAAATCATACATTTTCAACTGGGAATATTAATTGATCCATAGAAACCTTTTCGTTACAGTTATTGAAATATATAGATTAGCATGTCGTACCAGTGAATAGACAAGTTGTATTTTGCATAATTAGTAACATTGACCATAACTCTATCTCCTTCTCTGACATAAATAGTTGGCCCTGGAAACCTCCCATTTACAGTTACAATAGGTTTTGCATGGCACAATCTGCTAACATTCTTCACTTGAATCTGAGGGGGGAAACAGCAATTTATATGAAGGTTAAAATCATCATCCAAAGAAGTATATATATATCTGTGCATGTGCGTGTGCATAATCTAATTTAACTCACATCAAACTGATATTTCTTTATAGCAGCTTCTGCTGGAAAAGAAACGAATCCTAGAATTCCAATGGAAAGAAAGGTTAACCCTGACAAGAAACTTCGACGGCTAGCCATTTATCTTCGGGATTTTTGTTGTATTCTTGCAAGGATGAGGCATACATGGAAGTGGCAATAAGAGGTTTATATATGGACTCATGGAAGCAAGGAAACAGACTAAGTCTATTAAAAAAACAGGTTGTAGATGAGTAGGTAGAAACTAAGAAGAGGTTGCAGTCCAAAGCTTGTAAGCAAAATACTGAAAAAGACTTGAAGAGCCATTGACTGACGTAGAGGCTGGGATTCTGAAGGAGATTATAGCAGAAGCATCAAATCAATGAGATTGATATCCATTCTGTTCTAGATTTCCGTTTTTTTTTTCTAATTTTTATACGTATAGCAGTCAAAAAATTGAGCTCGAGAGGTACATAAGGCCAACCAAATCCCAAAATGCGCTTAAGCTTTAGAGTTAAGGGAAAGGAACAGCTTTCGTGGTGATCATTTTGCCAAGAATTCCTTTTAGCATTCAATGATTTACAAGGTGATTTTCTCCTACGTAAATCCTCCTTTTTTCATACTTCTGTTATGCAAGTAGGTAAGATATTAGGAATTTTGAAGGCTAGGAACTAAATTCTCATTAACCCGTAAGTTCATGGGATTTTTCGACCAATTAGCCTATACAATTTCAGAAAACAGATGTCTTCAAAGCTCCTGTGGTCACATCCAAGCTGGTTTTCCCCTTAATTTGGGGCTGCTATGGTTATATGCTTAGTACAGAAACTTCCTTTTGCTTCAAGGGCAACCCCAATTGGATAAAAATAATGGTAGAGTGCATCAACCTTAAAGTAAAGAACTAAGGAAGGACCAGGCATAAAGCTTCGTGTATAGCCTAGTCTTTTGGTCCCTAATGGTGATAGTTCCTTCTGTTCCAAACATTGGTTAGACATTAGGAAATCTTCAAATTCCTTAGCCTCATCTAATTCCTGAGGTCCTCTCCATTGCAGAAGTGCAAGCTAAAACCTTCAAGGTCCTGGGCAATTGAGAAAATATGGCTGATCTTCCTTTTCTGTTACTACAGAATAGGGAGCCCAGAAAAAGTGTTCTTTAAGTAAAGCCCAGAAAAAGGGTTGGGCCGAATTGATGCAAAGAGTATTTGACAAATCCTGTGTCTTCTTTTGGTACTTTTGTTTTGTTTTGAGCTAAATCTTTTAGGGTACTTAAATTTATTTGATAGATCCTTAAATTCAGGCTAATTGATCAATTTTTTTTTTAATTTTTGGTGAAATCTAACTTAACTACAGGTTATTTATTTTTATGATTTTAATCTCTTGAATTATTGGGTAAAAATAATCAACTCGCAATAATTATTTTAACGAGTTAAAAACGGATATGATAATATTGTAATAATTATCTTTTTTTGACCTCATAGTTTAAAAGATCAAATCAAAAACACAAAAGGTTAGAGTTTAAATTGTGTTTAACAAAAAATTTAGAGTCTTTTGACTAATAAGTTTTTTTTTTTTTAAAGGACATAGAAAACTAAAACTAAGACTCGACATTTATTTTTACTCAATGCATTGTAGTGGTGAGTATAATTAGAAACCCTAATAGTTGTATGGAGATGATGGATCTATGATCTATAATGTCAAAATTTGTCCAAAATATCAATAAATTGTTG